GGGAGGAGGAGGAGCACGTGGAGGAGGAGGAGCATGGGGAGGAGGAGGAGCACAGAGAGGAGGAGGAGCATGGGGAGGAGGAGGAGCAGGTGGAGGAGGAGGAGCACAGGGGGGAGGAAGAGCATGTGGAGGAGGAGGAGTACAGAGAGGAGGAGGAGCACAGGGAGGAGGAGGAGCACAGGGAGGAGGAGGAGCATGTGGAGGAGGAGGAGCACGGGGAGGAGGAGGAGGAGCATGGGGAGAAGGAGGAGCAGGTGGAGGAGGAGGAGCACAGGGGGGAGGAGGAGGAGCACAGGGAGGAGGAGGAGCATGTGGAGGAGGAGGAGCACAGGGAGGAGGAGCACGGAGAGGAGGAGGAGCACAGGGAGGAGGAGGAGCATGTGGAGGAGGAGGAGCACAGGGAGGAGGAGGAGCAGGTGGAGGAGGAGACCAGGTAAATGTTAAGCAGAAGCTGGTGGCAGCCGTGCCCCTGGGCCATCTTTGGATGACCTCGCCTACAAAATGAGAAAATCAAAAATGACCTGAAAACAGAAGTTTCAGGACTACATCACAGAAGGACTTCCTCCTTGGAATGTGCTAAACGTATCCTGGGTGAAATGAGGGTGCTCTGCGGTCGTCCTCCAGGCACATAGTGGACGGGGGGATGGAGGGCAAGGCCGTTTCCCTCACGACCCTGTAAGTCCGCCCAGAGGCTGCACAGGCCAGGAGGGGTGGCCTGCAGGCTCAGGGCGGTCCTTCCCCTGGCACTCGGCAAATTTTTCTGCGAGACACATGGGATTTTCTGCTAGAGACGGTTCATGTCCTGATCAATCCCGAGAGATCTAAGAGGACAAGGACATCCACCAGACCGCAGGGTGGCTTCTCAGTCTGGGACCTGGGGTTGACTAGGAAGGGGTCACTACACCAGTGACCTCCAGGGCTGATGGCACTTGGCCACGTGGAAATGAGCAATTCCACACATTTATGTGACCACAGCGTGAAACCACGACCTCTGTGTGGCTCCAAGACCTTCCATGGCCCCAAGGAAACCTGCGTCCATCAGGAGGGGCTCCTCCGGCCTCCACCAGCACGGGCCACCTGGCTGCCGTCCCTCCACCCTGACCGGCCCCTCTGGAGGAGCACATGGAGGAGGAGGGTGGTCAAGCCCCGCCGTCCTCCAGGTCCGCTGCTCTCCCTGGGCCCAGCTCCAGGGCCCAGCTGCGCCCAGCTCCAGGGCCCAGCTGCGCCCAGCGGGGATTAAGGCTGCGCCCCTTCTGGTCTGAATCAAATCCCGCCTTTCTGAGCTCATGGCCTCCGACACCCGGTTCAACCCGCAGCTTCCCATCAGCCCACGCGCTGCCCTGCTCAGGCCTGCTCGGCCCCGCCACTGTGGCCCTTGACTCGCTCCCTGGGGCTGCACGGTGGCCACTCGCCCCGCTGGAACACAGCACGGGCCTGGCCTCCCCGTGGGTCTCTGTCTGAGCCACTCGGACGCCCCTTGCTGTTGGGGATTCACACGTGGCCACTTTTCTGGCTTCACGAGGCCCTGAATTTCAGAACCAATTACAAGTCCACCAAGAAAAACCACACCCACCCAACACGCCACGCCACACGGGCCAGGAGCTGGCAGGGACATGCCTCTCAGGGTCATTGCGCAGAGGAAAACCGTCCAACCTGAGTGGCCAGCGCCGGTCCCGAGGTCTTGCTGTGTGTGCATCATGGTGGCTGATACCCTGAGAGCACCTCTAGCCTCTCTCCTTCTCTCGGGGGCGGTGCAGGTGGAGGGGGTTCAGAAGACACCTGTTTGGATGACGTTTGGCACACACCAAAGCTCCGGCTGCTGGCTGTCGGTTCTTCCATCCAGGGACAAACGTGAAAGGTCACATGTGGGAGGGTATGTGGGTGGGAGGGGATTTTCCCCCCAGGTCCTTTCAGTCTGGTGGGAGGGGTGGCGGATTGCAGAGGGATGGCAAGGAGCTCACACGGCCCAGGGGGAGAGGGGCTGAGGAAGGCCCCCAAGAGGTGACAGGGTACCAGGCGTGGGCACGAGGACATGACCAGTGTTTTCCGTCTGAGACCATGCAAGGGTCAGCCTGGACGGAGGGGTGGCGGGGGCTCTGTGAGGAGGCAGGATCCACCAGAGGGGTCCCCGATGTCACCCGCAGACTGGTAATGACAGAACCTGGCCATCCATTAC